TCAGCTTGCTGCCCCCTGCTCGTGCCGCGCCCTGTCGCACCGGACGCTCCTTTGGCACCACCGTCTTGGTCACACCTCTGTGGCACGCCTCCGTGGCATGCACTCCCGTCTCCTTGTCTCTGGTCTTCCCAGGTCTCTGCCCCCCCTCCCACCGTCGCCTGCCCCTCCCTGCCTTCCCTGTGTTGAGGGGCGGTAGCGCGCCGCTCCTCACTCCTCCTCGTCCCCCCCGACAGAGGCTCCCCTGCAGACTCTCCACCTGGACGTGTGGGGCCCAGCCCGCGTCCGTGGACAGGGCCACGAGCGGTACTTTCTGCTGGTTGTCGACGACTACTCGCGTTACACCACGGTCTTCCCCTTGCACCGCAAGGGGGAGGTCCCTGATGTTCTGATCCCCTGGATCCGCGCTGTTCGTCTCCAGCTCCGCGAGCGGTTCGAGACGAACCTTCCAGTCCTGCGTCTGCACTCTTACAGAGGTGGTGAGTTTTCCTCCGACCTCTTGCGGGCCTTTTGTCAGGCGGAGGGCATTCGCCAGACGTTCACGCTTCCGGCCTCTCCGCAGCTGAATGGGGTTGCTGAGCGCCGCATTGGCTTAGTCATGGAGGTCGCTCGTACCTCCATGATCCATGCGGCTGCCCCCCATTTTCTGTGGCCGTTTGCAGTCCAGTACGCTGCGCATCAGCTCAACCTCTGGCTCCGTGTCTCCTTGCCGGAGACCTCGCCCACACTGCGTTGGACGGGGGAGGTTGGCGATGCGTCGGTGTTCCGGGTATGGGGATGTCGAACCTTTGTTCGCGATACGTCCGCGGACAAGCTCTCCTCCCGCGCCGTTCCCTGTTTCTTCCTTGGCTTTGTCCTTGACGCGCCTGGCTGGCAGTTTTACCACCCCACCTCGCGCCGTGTCCTCCCCTCTCAGGACGTCACGCTTGACGAGTCGGTTCCCTTTTACCGTCTCTTCCCCTACCGCACTGCCCCTCTCCCTCCTCCGCCGCTCTTCCTAGCACCAGGTCCTCCTCCGGTAGACCCCCTCCCCCCTCAGGGTCCTGCTCCCTCAGGTGTGTCCCAGGTAGACCCTGTCGAGCCTGTCGAGGTAGCTGTCGACCCTGGTGCTGGTAGAGGTGGTGCGTCTGGGGGTGCCGACGCATTGCCAACCTCTCCCGTCCAACGCAGTGTAGGCAAGGTCTCCGGCAAGGAGACACGGGGCCAGAGGTTGAGCTGATGCGCAGCGTACCGGACCATAAACGGCCACAGAAAATGGGGAGCAGCCGCATGGATCATGGAGGTACGAGCGACCTCCATGACTAAGCCAATGTGGCGCTCAACAACCCCATTCTGCTGCGGAGAGGCCGGGAGCGTAAACGACTGGAGGATGCCCTCCCCACGACAAAAGTCCCAGGAAAACTCACCACCTCTGTCAGAGTGCAGACGCAGGACGGGAAGGTCTGTGTCGAACCGCTCGCGGAGCTGGAGACGGACAGCGCGGATCTAAGGGATCAAGACATCAGGAACCTCCCCCTTGCTGCGCAAGGGGAAGACCGTGGTGTAACGCGAGTAGTCGTCAACAACCAGCAGAAAGTGTCGCTCGCGGCCCTGTCCCTTGACGCGGGCTGGGCCCCACACGTCCATGTGGAGAGTATGCAGGGGAGCAGTCGTCGAGGGAAACGAGGAGGAGTGAGGAGCGGCGCGCTGCCGCCCCTCGACACAGCGAAGGCAGGGAGGGGCAGGGGAGGGTGGGAGAGGAGGTAGAGACCTGGGAAGACCAGAGACAAGGAGGCGGGAGTGCATGCCACGAAGGCGTAGCAGGGAGGGGTGACCAAGGAGGTGGTGCCAGAGGAGAGTCTGGTGCGACAGGAGGCGACACGAACAGGGGGCTGCTAGCTGACCTGACGCGGACGCAGACGCAGCTACCTGAGGAGGCTCAGTAATCAGTGTGTACAGGCTCGACCCAGGCCGACGGGTGAACGTGGCCAGTTGACGGCCCGTCCGTGCACACGTGCAGATCGCCAAACGCTGTCTTCCAGGAGTGAAGGTAGTAACCCATTCATCCTCAAGTTTGTAGAGAACGAGGGGAGGTGAAGACCTGACAGTGAGCCAAACGGAACCGCCAGACAAGGGAGAACAGTGGAGGAACGTGCAAGAACCGGTCCCCCAGAGGGGTCAGCCAGAGAGACTGCAACCGGTGCTGCGAGTGGTGTGACTGTGGTGCTGTCGCGAAAGAAGCAGCGGGAAGAACCTGAGTCAAGCGTGAAGGTGTGCAAGGCCTCAGCAGGCGCAGTACCAGAGAGAGCAGAGTCACCAGCACCTAGAGCAGACTCACCAGCACCTAGAGCAGAGTCACCAGCACCTAAAGCAGCAGCCGCTATACCAGGGCCGGGTGGCACACACAGGTAACAATCACCGTGAGTAATACTAGTCAAAGCATACAAGGCAGTGAGGATAGTGTCATAGTCTAGAGCAAAGATATCCACCTTGTTCCAAAGCAGCTCTAGCCAGTGGGGGAGCTCAGCCTCCTCGCCAAACACTGCACGCCAGGCGTCGCTCAGACGGGCGAAGCAGCGAGCCTGTGTGTGACCAACTGTCCCGCAAGTCTGACCAGCCCTATCACATGTGCAAATGACGTATAGGCAGCGAACAGTACTCCAAGTCCCCCCAGTCTGAGCATACCACTCACGAAGCTGTTGGGGCGTAAGGGTCTCGCGCGGATGCCGCTGTAGCTGCATCTGGCCACCGCCAGAAACTCCGCACTGAATAGCTCAACCGCGACTGCTACTACGGCCGCCGCCACCACACCTACTGGCGTACCACTCACGAAGCTGCTGGGGCGTAAGGGTCTCGTGCGGACGCCGCTGCAGCTGCATCTGGCCACCGCCAGAAACTCCCCACCGAACAGCTCCACTGCGATTGCTACTACGGCCGCCACCACTCCCACTGCTGCCACCACCGCCGTCACCACTCCAACCGCTACTACGAAGTGAAGTCATATCTGGCAAGCAAGGAGGCGCGCGACCACTAGGGCAGTACGGAGGGAAGGCAGTAGTACGAGCAGCAGCAGTAGCAGGAAGAGCAGCAGAGCGGCTCGGTGAGGCTAGGCTCCAGCACCTCCATCACTCCTAGCAGCACCTCCACCAGCAGCAGCAGTAGCACGAGCAGCAGGGCGGATCGGGTTGGGCAGGGCGGCTCGACTCGGCCTGGGCGGCGCGGGCAGCAGGGCGCGCGCTGTGCAGGGCAGCAGGGCGCGACGCGCGGGCTGCAGCAGGGCGCGGCGCGCGGGGCAGCAGGGCGCGCCGCGCGGGCTGCAGCAGAGCGCGACGCCCGGGGCAGCAGAGCGACGCCCGGGCTGCCGTAGGGCGAGACGCGCAGGGCAGCAGGGCGCGACGTGCGGGCTGCAGCAGAGCGCGACGCGCAGAGCAGTAGAGCTCGACGCGCGGGCTGCAGCAGGGCGCGACGCGCAGGGCAGCAGGGCGCAGGCTGCAGCAGGACGCGGGGCAGGGCAGGGCGTGCGCGGGGCAGCGCGACGCGGGGCAGGGTAGGGCGTGCGCGGGGCAGCGCGACGCGGGGCAGGGCGTACACGGACAGTGTGACGCAAGGCAGGGCAGGGTAACGCGGCAGGGCAGGGCGTGGGGTAACGCGGTAACCGCAGTCGGTCACTAGGTAATGGTGGGCCCGAAAAAAAAAACGGTCCTACGGACCTACTGCTCTGAAACCATGTCAGAAACTAACGAACAGGAATGAATGCATTGATCAGAGATGTGGTACAAGTACTAACCCTAATTGGGTTGTACCTCATATAGGCTACCCCACTACAGCCTACACAACATAAGTAGCATTATAGTTTGACAAGGCCGACTCGGTCAGTCCAGCGGGTGCATGGTTTGGCAAAACAGTGCGTGCGAAGTTGGCGAAGCCCCGTTAGTCGTAACGGGTAAACAACGGCTGCTGCTGTACGCGATGTTGAAGCATGCAGTAAGGAATGCCGAAAAAATCTCTACACTGGAGATGTTTTCAGAAACGACAGAACGAATCAATTGAGTAAACCATGTTTTATTTCAAACCTAAATCCACCGAAATTATTTCAGGGCAGCACATTTTTACTCGCACTCCACAGGCCACGCAAAATCACACATTTTAAAGTCGTATTACCGTAAGCCGAGATGTAAGTGGTTTGTGTGCGAGTCTGACTAGAGGTTGGCCTGATATTAGGCCGCAGGAACACGCTAATACGGTAGATGTTGAACATGGCCACTGTGTTGTGCACCCGCCTGTGACGCTACTGGTATTCAAGAGGTTTCTCTTCTTTACGGTATCAATACACAATCTAACGGTATCATTTACAAAGCAACCCATTCCTAATGGTGGCCGTTTATCTGCCACCAGAGCTGCAATTTTTGCAGATTTTAAATCAAGCAACTCACATGTCCAATGTTCACCTAAAGTAGCATCGAAGCTGAGGCAGAACATGTCACGCACGTGCCAAGAGCAACACAACACAGCACCAAGGCCACCCACTGCAGCAGCCTCTGCTCATGAAGCCATCGCCTCCCTGCCACCAATAGAGGCGGCATCAGCGGAGCAAGCAGCGTCCAGGGAGACACCTCCAGCCTCCCCAACACTCTCAACTGCCCCTTGCTGCCCACACACCCATCCAACTCCTCTGCTGTCACTGCACCACAACATATGGCCCTGGCCACGCTACATATTTTTGCAAGCAACGCTGCAGGTTTCTGGCTGCTGCGGCCGGTCAGCCTCACCCTGCGGCAACCGTCAGGGGTTGCTGCACCGCCACCCTTAAAAAAAGTGTTGCGTGCCCAACTGGCTCATAGGCTTCACCGCTAGGAGGAAAGAGGCGGCTAGACCTGCTCCTCCGTCGGCTGGACTGAGGCGGCTAAACCGGCTCCTCCGTCGGCTGGACTGAGGCGGCTAAACCGGCTCCTCCGTCGGCTGGACTGAGGCGGCTAAACCGGCTCCTCCGTCGGCTGGAGCACCTTCCCGTGTCCCTGCTGCTGTTATGCTGCGGCGGCTGCTGCTGCTCCTGCTGGTGTGCGAACAGCAGCAGCAGAAGCAACTCCGAGGTTGACGCGCCAAGCGGGCAGGTACAGCGGCCACAGATGGCGCTGCACGTGTGTTGACCGCCCAGACTGTGCAATGAGATCTGCTATGGGACGAGCACCGGCACACACACCTCCCTCTTCCACCACCGCACCTTCCTCTTCCACCACCGCACCTCCCTCTTCCACCACCGCACCTTCCTCTTCCACCACCGCACCTCCCTCTTCCACCACCGCACCTCCCTCTTCCACCACCGCACCTCCCTCTTCCACCACCGCACCTCCCTCTTCCACCACCGCACCTCCCTCTTTCACCACCGCACCTCCCTCCTCGTCCACCATGGCACCAGCTGCTGCCGCGCCTGCCCCCCCCTCCGCTGCTGCCGCTGGTGCACCAACGGAAGCACCACCTCCGCTGCTGCAGGAGCAGCAGGGACGGGCGGAGGGGCTAGGCGCGCCCCAGCGGCCACACGTGGGCTGGGTGCGCCCCTGGTAGGGGCAACGGGCAAAGGGGGCTCCGACATGCGGTCAGCTATAGGAGCACCCGCTAGAGGAGCACCGGCCTCTACCACAACATCGTGCGGTAGGGGCAGTACATTTACCCTTCTCCCCTCTTGGCCTACCACACACAGCGCACCTGGCAACTGCATCTCCATCGATTGCATCAACAGCATACGCCGCGTACCCTGCAACGCTGCCGCCCGGCAGCACGCTGAGTTTCGGCATCACGTGGTTTCACTGCTCCTAATCCGCCCTTCCCTGCCTCTCCCCAAATCTGCTTCTCCCCTCTCCCCATTCCTCTCCCCATGCCTCTCCCCGTGCCTCTCCCCATGCCTCTCTCCATGCCTCTCCCTGTGCCCCTCTCCGTGCCTCTCCCCGTCCCTCTCCCCATGCTTCTCCCCATGCCTTTCCCCATGCCTCTCCCCATGCCTTTCCCCATGCCTCTCCCCATGCCTCTCCCCATGCCTTTCCCCATGCCTCTCCCCATGTCTCTCCCCATGCCTTTCCCCATGCCTCTCCCCATGCCTCTTCCCATGCCTTTCCCCATGCCTCTCCCCATGCCTTTCCCCATGCCTCTCCCCATGCCTCTCCCCATGCCTTTCCCCATGCCTCTCCCCATGCCTTTCCCCATGCCTCTCCCCATGCCTCTCCCCATGCCTCTCCCCATGCCTTTCCCCATGCCTCTACCCATGCCTCTCCCCATGCCTCTCCCCATGCCTCTCCCCGTGCCCCTCCCCATGCCTCTCCCCATGCCTCTCCCCATGCCTCTCCCCATGCCTCTCCCCATGCCTCTCCCCATGCAGTGGATCCTAAATCTGAGCATCCTGGTGGCCAGGCACGTTGCCTCTGCCTGCCATCTGCTGCTCCATGCGCACTGCAGGTGCCACACCTTCGCCTTCACCTGCTTGCACATGCAACAATTCCCCCTCATGTGCACCAATCACCACCCCACCTCCCTCGATGCGGCCACTGCCAACCCTTTCGGCATTGATATCATCTCACCCTCATGCCTCCCTCCCCTCTGCGCTCCTCCCCTCCTCCGCGCTCCTCCCCTTCTCCGCGCTCCTCCCCTCCTCTGCGCTCCTCCCCTCCTCCGCGCTCCTCCCCTCCTCCGCGCTCCTCCCCTCCTCCGTGCTCCTCACCTCCTCCGCGCTCCTCCCCTCCTCCGCGCTCCTCCCCTCCTCCGCGCTCCTCCCCTCCTCCGCGCTCCTCCCCTCCTCCGCCAGCATTTTTTAATCGTCCTGCACGGCAAAGGTCACCGCAGGCGTCTATCGCAACATCCTGTGGCACGGGCAGCAGCATCCTTGTCCTTCTCTCCACACGCAGCGCACCAGACGGCCCAGCAGCAGGACCACCAAACGCGCCGCCTGCCGTAGCAGCATTGACAGCACCAGTGGCGCCAGCAGCAGCACCAGTGGCTCCGGCAGCAGGAGCATAAGCACCAGCATGAGCGTGAGCATGAGAGTGAGCAAGGTGTTGTGTCGTGCGAGGGGTGTCTTCTTCCAGGCCTTCAACACCAAAATACCTTGTGACGTCTGCCGCACAGAGAAGAGACGAGAGGGCGACACACACACACACAGGCACACACACACACACACACACACACACACACATGCACAAACGCACGCGCACAGGCACACAGGCAGACACAGCCACGGCCCATCAGAGACCGTCAAGACGTAAAGGTAGAAGCAAAGGCCTCCCACAAACACAGCAGAGGCGTGAGAAACGGTCGTGACTCGTGGCATGAGAATAAGAGGTGAGAAGGCATGCGTGGACGGTGGAGGACGGTGGCGGCTACCTTCAACAGCGCTGAGCTCCATGCGTGAATCCAGACCCCGCCCATCAAACGCTGCTATGGGTGCTGCTGCTCCCATGCCCTCATGCTGATCCATCCCCCTAGACCACTCTTGAGCACCCATGAGACCTTCCTCATCACCCAAACTGCCATCCGCCTGATTCAAAGAGACGGAGAGGAGAGATGCGCGGAGAAGTCAAGAACATGGCATGAGGCGGAAGGAACAAGTGGGGTGAAGAAAAACAGATGAAGCTACCCCAAAATATGGCCAGGCCCGGGATAAACCAAATAAAGCCCGAATAAAAGAGGAGGTTCGAAAAGAAGAACACAGCAGCCACAACACCTTCAAAAGAACGTCGTACAGGTTGTCCTCATGGTCCGCATCCTGGGCCGTCATGGCTGATGGCTGAAACCGTACGGGTGGCACCCCCTTGTTAGGCCTGCTGGAGCGATGTGGGGGTGGTGGAATGGGCTGGATGGGGGGAACTGCAGGTGAAGGCTTATGCTCATGGGCCCTTGGTGACTGCTCATCCACTGCTACTTTTTCTTCTTCTTCCTCGTGACCAGCCATGCTGGTGCCAACCTCCAGAGGACCATCCCCTGGTCCCACAGGCGCCGAATCAGCAATGGCGGGTGGACCAAGAGGAGGAGGCGCAGTAGGTGCCTTGCTGCCCAAAGGGCCCGCCGAACGATCAAGGGGTTGCTCGCCCCCTTGCACGGACGGTACCGGGACCACGATGACGGTACGTGGTGGCGGCAGATTCTGCTCGGGGTCGTGGGGCTTAGGAAAGAGAGATGGGACTGAAGCAGAGGTTGGTGTGGGCTGGTCATTCCCGTCACCCACGCGTGCACACCACTTCTGCCACCTCTCAAGTTACATGTCCTCATAAAAACGTGCATCCCGGGTGATGACCATGCGCTTTGACTCAACATCCACCACATGCCATCCCTTGCTTTCTATGCTCATGCCCAAGTGCATGCCCCAACGAGTCTTGCTTGCAAGCTTCCCCTCACGCTCATGCTCAGGAATGAGGTATTGCACCATGCACCCAAACACACGGACCATGGACACATCGGGCTTGAATTTGAACACCACAAAATGAGGGGCCACATCATGGGGCAGGGTGGACTGGTGCACACGGTTTACCACCCACAAGAACTGCTGGAAAGCGAAGTGCCACCAGTGTGCTTTCACCCCCATGTGCCCCAACATCACACGCATGCCCTCGGTTACCGTACGGTTGCGGCTTTCAGCCACACCTTTCTGCTGGGGGGTCGAGGGCACGAAAGTTGACGCAAGATTCCGTGTTACTTCAGCAGCAACAAAAACTCATTCGACATAAACTCTCCTCCCCGGTCCGATCGCAACACCTTCAGCGTCATCCCGGTTTGCCGTTCAGCTTCGGGAAGCCATTCCTTGAAGGCAGCAAGCGCGTCGCTCTTCAGTTTCCACGTCTTCCCCCAGGTGTAACGTGAGGCGTGGTCCACGAACAGAATGTAGTACTTGCTTCCATCCATAGCTGGGGTCTGAAATGGACCGCGCACGTCAGTATGGACCAGCCCAAGAACCTGGTTCTCGTGCTCGTCGTGTAGTGGAAATGATTCGCGACTGAGTTCGGCTTCATGGCAAGAGGTGCACGGCAGATCCTCACCTCCTTGTGGCTATCCGCTTGTGGCTATCCACTTCACCACATCGGAGTGGACATGTCCAAGGCGAGTGTGCCACAGGTTGGGCATTGCCTTGGAGCCCACCACGTATGTCTTGAGACTGGCCGCTTCGTCAGCAACTGCCTTAGTCATGCCATTGCATGCAGCCACCGTGCCGTTGCATGCCGCTGTAGCCACCGTGCCGTTGCATGCCGCTGCAGCCACCGTGCCATTGCATGCCACTCCAGCCGTTGTACTGGTGCAAGCGGCTACAGCCACCGTGCCGTTGCATGCCGCTCCAGCCGTCGTGCCATTGCATGCCGCTGCAGCCGTTGTGCCGTTGCTTGCTGGCCATGGTTTCAGGTCAAGGCAGAGAAGACGATGGTGGTAGCGTGCAGTTGCTGCCACTTGTCCTCCCAATGCAATGATGCGGGTGACACCTTCTTCGGTTTGCAGATTTGCTCCTTTGTCACTTAGCTGCCCAGCGGAGACCAAGTTGGCCTTCATTCTTGGCACAAAGAGATCATGTAGGGTCACACGCAATCCGTTAGTGCCCTCCAGTAAAACCTTGCCAACACTGACAACTTCCTGCATAGACCCATCAAACCATTTGACAAATTTCGTTGCAGATGGATCACGGATCACCTTGAACCACTCCTTGCGGCCGGTCATGTGTTGGGAGCATCCTGAGTCAAGGAACCACAAGTCCGTGTTAAACGAATCATACTGCGCCACCGACTTGGCAATGCTCCATACACTGTGCATTTTCAATGATCCACTTTTCATGTATTTTTCATCCTCATCCGTCCACTCTGTGATGAAATCAGCAGAGTTCACCGCGTTTCCGGCCAGAAGGAGCAGCTCGTCGTTCACAGTTAGTGTGGCACGACGAAATGTGACAGCAGCTCTTAGATAAGCCTTGTCCTCAGTATTCCACTCCGTAATAAACTTGGCGAAGCTTATCGCTCACACTGAGTTCAGCCGGTGCTGCTCTCAGCTGAGCTTCATCAGCCGCCGTCCATTCGTAGAGGCAATCAAAGGGTGACTGGTTCACTGCAGGACAGTCCAACCAGCTCGGTACCTCTCACAGGTACCTCGCTGCGTTTCTGAAGCATGTGGCAGTAGCAAGAGCAACGGCAACAACAGTTTCCGGGTTTACTGAATCCATCCGAGCTCGGAGCCTTCTCAGATTTGGGATGCAAACACTAGGAGTGTGATTGAAACAGCGTGTGATTGAAGAGGAATAGTACTGTCAACTCACCATTTCCATTGACGCCGAGCCAACGGAAGCCCCCCTAAAAAGAGAGGCGAAGTTGAAACGTTGCCTTGGCACTGTTCGTTCGGACCTTCGAACAGAACCTATGGCATTACATGCAGACCGCTTGTTCGCTGCGCTCTGATGAAAATTCGGGGCGGCCAGTGGATGGTCCCCATCGGTAATCGCCTGAGTCACAGCTACGTAACGCGAACATTGGACGGATAATATGCTTCTGGTGCTTCTAGAGAAACATCTGCGACCGAGAAATGTCAACGATTGTCTATTTGCAACACGCTCACCTAGATGTCGAACCAACGGCTAGATAAGATTGAATCGGACGTGAAACAGATCGTAATGCCCACGACCTTGCCTACTACGAGGCTCGGCACCAACTTTCGCAGCGCTCGCACATGAATGGAGCCTGACCGTTCTCCATTCCTACTGGATCTAGACCATTATGACGTGTTTCATGCGTGGATCTATGTGTGGCATGGGGGATGAGGTCGTACCCGCTGGTGGGGTCGTGATTGGGGAAGCGCATAGATCCACGTGATAGGAGAGGGGGGGGGGGGGGGGAAATCGGCTAAACCCTTTGAAAATGAGAGACGTGCGTGGAGGGAAATGACCTTCAACCCACGTTTCCTACTCCAGAATGGGCGTTTAGCGCGGCTCGACGCTGCCCATTCCTAAATTACAAGCAGCTTCGCTTTCAGTATATACAATTTGTAAAGTATTACAGCTTTTTTTGGGCGGGGGGCTGGGGCTGCCGGGGCGGGGGCGGGGGGCGCGGGCCGCCGGGGCGGGGGCTAGGGGCGCGGGCGGGGGGCGCGGGCCGTCGGGGCGAGGAGCGCGGGCGGGGGCCGCGGGCCGCCGGGGCGGGGGCGGGGGGCGCGGGCCGCCGGGGCGCGGGCGGGGGGCGCGGGCCGTCGGGGCGAGGGGCGTGGGCGGCGGGCGCGGGCGGGGTGGCGCGGGCCGCTCCGTTGGACCCTAGCGCGCACCTTGAGCTTACACCCCACACAACACCAAAGTCATTTACTAGGCTTTAGATTATGATTGTTTGTCTTCTTCTTTTCCCCTATTTTCGCTGTCAATGTCATCATTTCACGTCGCTATTGTGCCGTTCGTACTACTCGTAGTTGTTCTCATCCGCAATGGAAACCCCTTTTCGTCGACCCCTCAACAACATTCTACGGCGTGCCGGGCCTCGCGTCTTAGCGTGCGTGGCGTGTGTTTCAAATTATTTTAATCTCGTTGTCAAAGAGTTCGACTGCCAGTTCATGATGGGGTGTCCAAGTGTGCTAAGTGTGTGGAGAGTGGATAAGGCGAGCGGGAGCTTGACTGCGATAAAGCGCACATGCGATTGCATTGAGTGCCACTAATAATGTTTGGCATTGACAGCATGACTTGCGGCTTTCACCCACATAAATTGGACTATAAAGATCTTAGTGATCCCAAGATCTTTGTGTTATCTTGTGACAAACCATGACGAATTCTTTTACAATGATATTACTCATGCTTCATGTTCTGAGGTCTATGGGTCGCAAGTTAGTCGTCGTTGGATTTCGCTAGTTACCAACTAGTAATATTGAAAACGAGTTGAATGTTCTCACAAAAACCTTCACTCTTATTGCCCATCAGGTCGCATTATTCAAGTTTGAATTGTAGTTTGGAGTGTCCCTTCGCAGAAGACGAGCGCTGTCGTGTTTGCTCTTCCAAGGTGTGTCCAGTTCATTGCACTGTTCATTGCAATTGACGATCCACAACATGATGTTGTTCATAAGAATTAGAATATTTTGGATCTGTGTCGTTGCATGTTTCTTTTACTTCATAAGTAAGAGGATCACCACTCATTGATATACATACACTCATGTGCGTCACACCATCCATCAGTTGTTGGAATCACTGAACAGGAATGAATGAACTAGCAATGAAAAAAGTACAAGTACCTAACCCTAGAATTGTGTACCCCCTATAGGCTAACCCACTGTAGCCTAAACTAACACAACATATATAATGTTTGACACACCCCCATAGGCAAAGTGGGGGAGAACTAGGGGTCACAAGACCAGTCAAGGCAAAGCAAGGCAAAACAAGCTCAGGGTGGATCTCAAGGATACCACACAAATTCCGAGCACAAGCAAGTGGTCACAAGACCAGTTCACATGCAGGTTTATATATAGAGATCACAGTACAACAGACTCAAGAAGTAAGCAAGTGAGGTCCAGTAGGCACAAGGCCTAGAAGAGTGCAAAAGCGCTGATGGTCACAAGGCTGAAGCGCCTTGGTGAACACATCAGCAGTGTTGGCCTCAGAGGCCACGTAACGCAGGCGAAGCTGACCACGCTGCTGCAGCTCTCAAGCGAGGAAGTAACGCAGAGCAATGTGCTTCGTTCTGTGCTCCAGTCTGTGCTCCTCACACAAGGCAATGGCTGCCTTGTTGTCGACGTACAGCACTGGAGGAGAACGAGGCTGCTCTCCAAGGTCGGTCAGCAAGTAGGTGAGCCAGCGTAGCTCCTGGGCCGCCATGGCTGTGGCGTAGATCTCAGCCTCACAACTGGAGCTGAGAACAGAAGAAGAGCGAGTAGAACGCCAAGAAACAGAACCAGAGCCAAGACTGAAGGAGTAACCCTGAGACGACCGCTGAGTAGCCTGGTCGTCTGCCCAAGAAGCGTCTGAGTGCCCAGTGAGAACAACTGGGACTCGCCCTCCAAGCACTAGCCCCATGCCCGACGTACTGCACAAGTAGCGCAACACCCTCTTAGCTGCATCCATGTGCTCCTTCCGGTGACGGCCGGGAGCGACATAGCGTGCAAGAATGCTGAGAGGGTATGCAAGGTCTGGTCGAGTGCAGGTCATCAGGTACATGAGGCAACCCACAAGCTCTGGATACGGGCCACTCGGCTCTACGGACTCATCCGAAGGCAGAGCTGAGAGCGAGTGACCGGTAGGCAGAGGAGTGGGCTGAGGCGAGGAGTACGTGAAGCGGAAGCGCTGAAGGACCTGCTGCACCATGTGTGACTGAGTCAAGGTGATGGTGCGGCGTGCTCTGTCCCGGGTGATCCGCAAGCCAAGATAGCTTGTCAGTTCACCCAGGTCTGTGCACGTGTGTCTCTTCTGCAGCTCCGACTTCACGTGGGCGAGTGCCACAGTGTCAGCAGTAGCAAAGACCAAGTCGTCGACGTACACAAGGACGTAGAACGGCGGCAGTGAGGTGTCGGTGCGTAGAAACAGCGACGGGTCAGCAGTAGAAGGCGCGAACCCAAGAGCCGCAAGCGTAGTCCTCAGTGTGTCGTGCCACTCACGAGGCGCCTGGCGGAGACCGTAGACTGGCCGTCGGAGGCTCCACTGGGTACCAGGAGGGAACGACCCAGTGAAGCCAGGTGGACGGCGCAGCCAGATCTCCTCGTGCAGGCTGCCCTGCAGGAAAGCAGTGCTGAAGTCAAGCGAGTGGAGCTCGTAGTCACGCTGAGCGGCGACGTGCAGCAGAACCCGAAGAGTGGTCATCTTCGGGGTCGGGGAGAAGGTCTGGAAGAAGTCAACTCCCTCGCGCTGACTGAAGCCTCGTGCAACGTAACGCGCCTTGAAGACAGGCGGAGAACCCGGCGGCCGCTTCACCCTGAAAATCCACATGCCACTGACGATGTTCGCCCCAGGCGGGGGAACCTCGTCAACGTAGGTGCCTGTGGACTTCCAGGAAGCCATCTCTGTGTCCATGGCTGACTGCCACTGAGAGGAGTAGGGACCGGCCATCGCCTCTGCGTAAGAGCGTGGGGTCGGGATGTCTGGTGCATCCGGGTCTCCCTCAGGGGCAACAAGCATGGACACGAAATGGGGCAAAGCGGCAGCAAAGCACTGGAACTCCTCCTGCCTGTCCTCAAGGACGTCAGTGCCAAGAGCACACTCACCCCCGACGGACGGAGGACAGACAGACTCAGACTCAGCAACTAGGCTAGCAGCGTAGTCTAGACGACAGCGAGCAGCAAAGTCGACAAGCTCAGCAACTAAGGCAGACGCAGCAGCAGACTCAAAGGAAGGGTCAGTGACAACAGTGGCCAGGAGACGCGTGACAGCAGGACTGGTAGCACGAAGAGAGTCTGACCCAGGGTCAGGAAGAGCAGGAAGAGAGGAAGCAGGAGGAGACGGCAGTGGGACACGCTGTGGAGCAGTGGACGGACGAAGCGCCATCCGGTGAGTGCCTGGGACAGCAGGAAGACGCTGACGCTGGACTCGACGACTAGAGAGAGCAGTG